GGGGGTGGGGGGTGGGGGGGGGGGGGGGGGGGGGGGGGGGGGGGGGATCGTCTCAGCTGTACACCTCCCAGCAGACTGGAGCGCCTCATTAGTTTGGGCTGTCCAGGCAACAAACTCATCATCAACTGGTTTTTATTCAGAGTCAGTTTCTCTGAGGGTCTCTGGGTTGAAGAGAGGAGGAGGAGAGAGCTGGACGGAGGAACCATCCTGAAACCTCCACAGCTTCACACCTCCAGCTGCCTGATGCAACTTCCATGAAGAACTACACAGTTCCTCCAGGTCCTGATGGGGCTGAACGTTTACCAGCTCCGGACCTTCATGGCTCTGATGAATCATCAGATGGCAGAGTTCATCCTAATTTTACACATCCGGGTTCTAAATTTGCAGCAACTTTTTGAAAACGCACCAACAGAACGAAAAACTTCAAAGTGCCCGAAACTTTCTGTCCAGAAGCATCATCAGCTGCTGGATGAGTGTCTGACAGGAACAGGTGCCACCCGGACTGCACGCGCTCCCATCACAACTTCATTCGGATCTCTAAGTGAAGCGCGTGCACGAGCTGAAACTTCGGACGGTTCTGTGCGTAAAAAGCGCACAGAAAGTTCAGCTAGTCCAGAACCTGGCAGCTGCTATAATGTCAAACATAAGTAATCCGACCTGAGAACAGCTAAATAAACTAATGCGAGGTAAATGAAGGTTAATCTACCTGCTGCTGCTCTGCTCGGACCCTCGGGATGAAATATAATCCAGGCGACCTGGTTTATCCGCGGCGGTTCGGATGGGCTGACGCGTCCTTCATGTCCCCGGAGGACCGGTTCTGATCATGTGCTCGGCTGTGAGGTTCTCCAAAGCGTTTTTAAACCGCAGGCACCGGTTCGGCCCGCCCCTCCCGGCTCCGGGTCCGGCCAATGGGAGCAGAGTCTGCAGCTTCTGGTCCGGAGGGCTGGAGGGATGCAAGTGATGCGTTCAGGGAACAACATGCAGGAAAAGTTGGACTCAAATTAGGCGACGAAACATTGAAGCTCATTCAGGGGGTTCAATCAAAGTTTTTAATCTGAGCAAACAGAACCTTCCTGCAGAAAACTGCATGGAATAAAAAATAAAACAACACTTTGACAAAAACTTCATAAAGATCGTGGAGACTTTAAACTTTCAGAAGAGAAAACAACTTTTAAACATGAACACGTTCCTGCAGAAAGACGAAGCCTGTTCAAGTTTATTTCTGTAGCTCTTTAAGATCAGCACAAGTTGATCAAAGTGCTTTAACACTTTACACTTTAAATACATTTAAAAATCAATTAAAAATAGAAAAAAACTAAATGATAAAAAACAGAAACAACATTTGTAACAATCTAAGCTGACTAAACACTGTTGTGATGTAAAAACTGTAAAGAAAACCCAAAGAGAAGTTAATTAAGCAAGTTAAAGCTCATTATGGTCACCATGGTAACCTGAGTCTGTCACTCCCTGACAGAGCAGAAAACCTAAGTGTTTAGTTGGAAACCTTCTCAAACTATAACTTGAGCATTAATTTGTTTTATGGAGGAGAAGTTAAAACGAGTCTTCTCCTGACTGAAAGACTGAATTCTGAGCTCTGGTCCGGGGGTCCAGGAGGGTTCAGGTTCTGGGCCCTTTGAGGTGCTGGAGAAACAACACGTCTGATCAGTGAGACAGGAGCTGGACGAGACAGATTGTTTAAAGGAACGAGTTTGTTTGCAGAAAGATCTGAGCTCAAAGTTAAAGACATGAAGTTGAACTCTGAGCTCACATCCTCCGTGTTCTGTGGTTCTGCTCGTTTAAATTCTGATGGTTGTGTTGGGACGTCCAAGTCCTGAGCAGAACTGGATGTTGGTGAGTTCGCTGCATGTTTCCATGCTTTTCAATCTGCAGGAGTGGCTCTGAAACCATGAATGAAAGAAAAGGAAACCCTCCCACAGGGCTCCTGCAAGGAACCAAACAAGAACCAGGTTTGGATCTCCCACCTGCTTTCAGGGATGTTTTCAACAGAATTTCTAAAACGCTGCTTTGGAAAGCGAGTTGTGTCGGAAACACTGAGTCACTGGACGGAGGCCTGCATGCCTGGACCCTGATCCCGGCGTGTCTCCACCCGCAGATCAGGTTGCTGCACATGTTTACACTGTGCATCTGCTGCTCTGTAATTTTAGGCCGGCCTGGAGCGTGTCGTCCAATTCATCAGGAACATTAACCCTCAGCTCCGTGGTTTTCTCCAAGAATCTCAGAGGGCAACATTCTTCCCAGACGCTCGAATTTTTAGCTCAGGTTATTTTTAGCAGCACGCTGAGCCACCTGTGTCAGGGAGCCGTGCGTTTGCTTTCCATGCCCAATTTGCAGGCCTGCGTGGGGCGAGCCAGTGCTGCGTGTGGACCACAAGGTGGAGGGCTGGAGGCTGGAATGAAGGCACAGAGGAGGAGGAAGGCCAGAGCTCAGCCGGATGGTGTCTCAGCAGCAGCATCTAGAGGAGCGAGAAATAAAAACCACCAAAACGATTAGGCCACGATTCAAACAGAAGAAAATCACTGTTCACTGCGTTTCTCCAGAGATGTCTGGTTTGAGTTGTGCTTCTGCTGCAGCTGTGGGACCGAGTCGTCGTTTCACAAGTTTTACCTTCTAAACAACTTATCTGACCAAATGGGTTATCTTATTAAATAATAACGAATTATCAAAAATGAAAGAACCCTTCTTGAAATCAAAGTTTAAACAAAAATCTGCTTTTCTCCATTAGAGTAAGTGTTGACTCTCATCACATGTTAAAAAAAGTTTTGTCATGGTTGAAGTCAAGTAGCTGTGGCAGCCATCTTGAATGAAGTTGATGCTAAAAGTTAATCTGATCCAATGAGTGTGAGTTTCATTAGGATCCATTCACTGGTTCATGAGATGTTTTTCTAATAGACACATTAACACACAAACAACTACATGATCGCCCGTCTGTTGCAAGGCAGAGAGCTGATCTATGAGCTGGGAGTAGGAGGGGCTGTTGGTGTCGTTCAGACCATCAACTAGGGCAACGTCATCATCAGACTTAATTAATGTGAAGTCTTTGTTGTTATGTCACAACTCATTTATGTATAAAAAGAATAAAAGTGGTGATAGCACACAACCCTGTGGAACGCCAGTGTTCAAAACCCTACAGTCAGATAGAGTGTTATCAACCCAGACTCACTCCTTGACTTGGAGGTTTCTGGGCTGGTGGTTCTGCAGGACATCTTCTGATTTCAAGCAGAAGCGGGTCAACCTCAATGAAGATAATCCCACCTGGAGAAGGACGGTGAGGATCAGGTGCGAGTGTAAGGGAACAGGAGCTCAGCGACAGGAGGGGGGAACACTGCTGAAACTGGAATAACACAAAATAAAAAACTAAATGAACACACAGACCCTGACAGAACTTCTCTGTTCTTGAAGAACATCCGTAACGAGTTATTCAACAGAACGTGAGCTTTCAGCGGTCAGGAGCGTGATGGGCTCGTTCTTCCTTCATTATTTCATGGGAGAGGTCGGACAGACCTGGAAGACCAAAACACGGAGCGCCGGGAGCATTTGATGTCAGAAAGTCTTTGTTCAAAAATGAACGTCAGCCACAGAGCAGCGTCCAAACCAGCGATATTTACAAGAAGCTGCAGCCAAAGATCAGGGTGAGATATGGTTTGTTTTATTTGCTAAAATCTTTGGTAATAGTTGGATTATTAATGTTTCATTGGCAGGCCGCTCTGGTAACACTTATAACTGAAAAAACATCTTCCAGCTTTCTCACCGCTGCCGAACTCCATCATCTGTTCATCAAAGTGGAAAATTTCTTTCCTCCCGTGCTCCAGCTCACTCCTTCCTCTGTTGGATCGAGACGATCCATGAAAACGTCAAAAACTTCATAAAAAATTGTTTTTAAAGTCGACAATGAAGGATCCCACCCTGGAGAAATAACTTCAAATAAATCATCAAAACACCTAAATTATTTTATGGCCTTGAAGTAAATTTAATATTGTAAATTCTGATCACTTCAGAGAACAAACAGACTGTCTGTCTGCTTACTGCAGCCTGTCTGTCTGTTTCCTGCAGCCAACCTGTCTGTCTGCTTAATGCAGCCAAATTGTCTGTCTGCTTACTGCAGCCAACCTGTCTGTCTTTTTACAGTATCCTGTCTGTCTGCTTACTGCAGCCAACCTGTCTGTCTTTTTAAAGTAGGCTGTCTGTCTGTCTGCTTACTGCAGCCAACCTGTCTGTCTTTTTACAGTAGCCTGTCTGTCTGCTTACTGCAGCCAACCTGGCTGTCTTTTTACAGAAGCCTGTCTGTCTGCTTACTGCAGCCAACCTGTTTGTCTTTTTACAGTAGGCTGTCTGTCTGTCTGCTTACTGCAGCCAACCTGTCTGTCTTTTTACAGTAGGCTGTCTGTCTGTCTGCTTACTGCAGCCAACCTGGCTGTCTTTTTACAGTAGCCTGTCTGTCTGCTTACTGCAGCCAACCTGTCTGTCTTTTTACAGTAGCCTGTCTGTCTGCTTACTGCAGCCAACCTGGCTGTCTTTTTACAGAAGCCTGTCTGTCTGCTTACTGCAGCCAACCTGTCTGTCTTTTTACAGAAGCCTGTCTGTCTGCTTACTGCAGCCAACCTGTCTGTCTTTTTACAGTAGCCTGTCTGTCTGCTTACTGCAGTCAACCTGGCTGTCTTTTTACAGTAGCCTGTCTGTCTGCTTACTGCAGCCAACCTGTCTGTCTGCTTACTGCAGCCGACCTGCCTGCATGTCTGCTTACTGCAAACAACCTGTCTGTCTGCTTACTGCAGCCAACCTGGCTGTCTGCTTACTGCAGCCAACTTGTCTGTCGTTTTACAGTCGCCTGTCTGTCTGCTTACTGCAAACAGCCTGTCTGTCTTTTTACAGTAGCCTGTCAGTCTGCTTATTGCAGCCAACCTGTCTGTCTGCTTACTGCAGCCGACCTGCCTGTCTGCTTACTGCAAACAACCTGTCTGTCTGCTTACTGCAGCCTATCTGTCTGCTTACTGCAGCTGACCTGTCTGTCTGCTTACTGCAACCAACCTGTCTGTCTTGTTACAGTAGCCTGTCTGTCTGCATACTGCAAACAACCTGTCTGTCTTTTTATAGCCGCCTGTCTCTCTGCTTATTGCAGCCAACCTGTCTGTCTGCTTACTGCAGATGACCTGTCTGTCTGCATACTGCAGCCAACCTGTCTGTCTGCTTACTGCAACCAACCTGTCTGTCTGTTTACTGTAGCCAACCTGTTTGTCTGCTTACTGCAACCAATTGTCTGTCTGTGTTTTGTAACCAACCTGTCTGTCTGCTTACTGCAGCCAACCTGTCTGTCTTTTTACTGCAGCCGTCCTGTCTGTCTGCCGGCATCATCACTCTGACTTTAATAAATGGGAATCAAAGGATAACATTGAACTGGGACCATCAAAACCAAGTCAGGCAGAACAACATCCAAACAGCTGGCTAAACATTTGGGCTATAATTTAGTTCTTCCTGTTGTAAGTAACAAAGTATCTTCACTGAAAATCACTTTTAATTCTTAAGAACCTGAGTCTGTTCTTCTTGCGGCCATATTTTCTGGGTACTCACCCATTTGTGACAGCAGGGAACCAGCAACAGGTCGACAATCACGCTACAGATTTATCTGTGTGTCATATTCTGTTTTTATGACAATCACAAGTTAAAGATGATCCATTTCAGCCCTGCTGTGGCTACACATCATCAAAGTCTAGTTTAAACATCAAAAACCAAATGAAGGTGACTCCAGTCAAACCATTGAATTTATTTAACTTAATGATTAACATGCACCCATGAAGGCTCGTGCCTTGTGTGGTTCTCTAACATTTTAGGTGAAGCTAAATAAAGTGTCTATATTTTAAAAATAAAATTGTCCTGGATGGATGAGCAGTTTTTTTAATGTAGGTACAATTTTGGAACTATCTTGAAACAAAAAAAAAACCCTTCCCAGTTTATGGACGTGACTGGGCACAGTATTAAAGAAAATGTGAGGAACCCCATCGTCTATTCGGAGTAGAGCTGCTGCTCCTCCTTGTTGTGAGGAGTAATCTGAGGAGGTTCAGTCACTTTCATCCGGAGGTTTTCCAGGTGTGAATCGCTGGGAGGAAACCGAGGGGGTAGACAGAACTCATGGTAGGGAATGTGTGTCCTTCTTGGCCTAGGAACACCTTGGGATCTTCTAGGAGGAGTTGCAGAGTGTCACTGAGGGGAAGGATGCCTGTTTCCCTGTTACCTCCAAGACCTGACCACAAATAAGCAGCAGAAGATGAATGGTCAAGTACCCTTGATGTTGTGAATTGTCTCTCTGAAGACAGCTGGCTCAGTTTTATCTTGTAAAGTCTTAAACATCATCTCTTTATGGGTTAAGGTCATTTGGCACAGTCAAAGAGTCTTGAAGATGACCTTCCCGTTGGTACGTTGGATCATTTAGGTCAGAGCTGGTCTCTTCCATCAGTTCCACTGTCACCGCTGGAGGTTTCAGACAATTTTCTTGATGGTTTTGCGGCGTGGGTTTAGGAGAAGACTGTGGAGACCATCTGGGTGAACGTCTTGCTGAAAGTCGAACAGGGAGCTCCAGGCGCTTCTTGTGGTCGTACTCCTCAGCACTGCTTATGGGTATCAGAACCTTTGCAGTGTAATTGAACAAATTGTAATCCACCTTGTAGTGCCTCTTGCTCACCCTGATCATCTCCTGGAACAAATGACCCCAGAAGATTTCGTCTTGCGTGTACGACGTCCGAGTCTGATGCAGCATGCCGGTGGAGTCGTCTGTGTAGGTGAATGACATCACCAGCTCAAAGTCTGCTTTCCGGAGATCTTCCAAACCCATTTTGTACAGAGGGCTGCCAGGTTCAATCCTGTGGAAGATGGTGGTAGGTGTGACCAGAACAATGTCCTTTTGTTGGATGGTCAGGTCTTCATAGCGTAAGTCAACCTTCCCTGCTGTGTGCACCATGGAGTAGACAATCTGAGCATGAGCCGTGCCCTCCACCATGTGGTACCTGCGGAAGTCCCCGATCCTCCAGGAAAGACACAGATAACCATCTCGAAGGTTGATGACTGCACGATTGCTAAAGCCAACTGTCTGTGCCCTTTTTCTGGCTGAGGCCATTTTGGAAACAACAATTCCAATGACGAAAGTGTCAATGATGCAGCTCAAGACATCTTGGACGGTGACAACGATGATGGCAACCATGCAGTTCTCAGACATCCCCCTGAAGCCATACCCAATGGTGGTTTGAGTTTCAAGAGAAAAGAGGAAAGCTGCCGTGAAGCTGCGCACCTCGAACACGCAAGGGTCATTGTTGTGGTCTCTGATGTCTCCGTGGGCCAGAGCGATGATCCAGAAGAGGATGCCGAAGAAAAGCCAAGACAGGATGTAAGACGAGGTGAAGATCAGGAACATCACCCTCCACCTAATCTCCACCAAGGTGGTGAAGATGTCGGTCACAAAGAGCAGCCACTCGTGTGGAACGTGGTGAAACAGGACGTTGCAGTTGCCCTCCTTGCGGATGTAACGCTGTTTCTTAGGGTGGGATCCATTTTTGGTCTTCACACTTCCCTCCGTAGGACTCACAGATGTGTACCGTGTAGGCATCTTCTAGTTTCTGTGGAGGAAAAGAAAAAACGTTTAATTCATCTGGGAGAGACTTGTGGTCAGGAAGATTTCGGATTTATTTAGTGTGCATCAGTAGCAATACTTTCTGCCATTCTGCATTATTTTAGGGTGGCAAGCTGAAGACATAAAACTTAATTTACATTCAGATGAAAACAAAGGTTGTGTGGAATCAGACGTCTCGTTAAACAGTTACTTGTTCTACGAGTTTTTGTTTCAGCGTCAGTGCAGCTGGCAGCTGGTTTCCATTCAGTACTGGCAGAGGGGTGGACTCAAGTCACATGACTTGGACTCTACCTGGACTTTTATTGTGAACATAGACAGTAAAACAACTGGCACACACCAACTGTCCTCGTCAGGAATTTAGATGAAACAAACAGTTTGACAGGTAAAGTCAGCAGCGATCATCCTTTGAGGAAGAATTTGTTCTTCCATCTGGATGGAGGTGCGCTCCACATAGAGCAAAGTGCAAGAGACATAAATTTACATTTGTTCCAAATGTAGTAAATGTAATTAAATCAAACGGCTAAAGCTTTTTGGCTATTAAAGTTACACTTCATCTGTCTTTGTCTCTTGTGATTGATATTTCAATATTAAAAAAAAGCTTGTTTGGGGCTAAACTTGGTCAGGTTCGTTGCAACAGCTCGTGCTTTGTCTCGTCTTTGTTTTACGTTCTTGACATTTTAACCACGGCTATAAATCAAGTTTCTCTCGGAGGAACAACACACGTCTGAACTGATCTGACAAAATCACACAAAACTTGACATTTTACACCAAACAGAAAGGATGCTTTTTATTTTAAAAGTACGCCTCTGTCTTCACAATTACTGATAATAGAGGACATGTACTGAAGCAGGTCGAAACGTTCAAGTAACCGGTCGGTGATAAATGCCAAAGGAAGCTGTGAAGAAGACGCTAAACGCAGAATTGGTGCAGCGTGGCAGAAATGGAAGGAGTCGACAGGAGTGCTTTGTGATATGAGGATTCATAGCTTCCATTATGATGTTTTTTCTTTGAGCTGCTGTTCAACTCATTTTCAGTCTCCTCAGCAAATTTCAGCAAAGTTCTGCAGTTTTTATTCACAGTAATTTCATGTTTTATTCTTATTCTATTTAGTTTCAGTTTTACAGAGACTGACCAGCTGGTGTCAGGAAAATAACCTCTCTCTGAATGTCAGCAAAACAAAGGAGATGATAGTGGACTTCAGGAAACAACGTGGCAACCAGCACTCCACCATCTACATAAAGAACGCTGAGGTGGAGCAGGTCAGCAGCTTCAAGTTCCTCTGTGTTCACATCACTGAGGACCTGCCCTGGACTTTACATACAGACACTGTGGTCAAGAAAGCCCGACAAAGACTCTACTTCCTAAAACTAAAGAAGTTTGGTACGAACACCAGCATCTTCACCAACTTTTATAGGTGCACCATTGAGAGCCTGCTGACAGGCTGCATCATGGGGTTGTACGAGAACTGAACCAGTCAGAAAGCTCTACAGAGGGTGGTGCAAACAGCAGAGGACATCACTGGTAGCAGTCTCCACATCATCCAGGACATCTACCACAGCCGATGTCTGCGTAAAGCACGCAGCATCATGAAGGACCACACACACCCAGCACAAGGACTCTTCTGTCTACTACCCTCAGGCAGACGATACAGGAGTCTGTCATCGTGTACATAAAGACTAAAAGACAGTTATTATCCACAAGCTGTCAGATTACTGAACTCTTGACAATAACAATGGACCAAGCCACATCTGTGACAACTAATATTTTTATTGCTGCTGCATTCTGTGTCTGTATCATGTATGTCACTACCTTACCACCATAATTCATCTCAGTGTTACTCACTGTGCAATAACCTGTCACACAGCCTGTGTATTTATGGTATATGCAAAATACTGTATATCATGTGCATTTAAGCTTATATTACTACCTGCTGTTGACCTTTGTTAACCTGCAGATGACAAATAAACACTAAATGAACTCGTGCAGTTGGTTTTTATCTGATTTAACTGAAGATGTGCTGCTGTTGTAATCTGGGAATGTTTTTCTGTGATTCTCGTTCTCCAGTCTTGTTTTGTGTAAATAAGAATAAATCTGAAACTTTTGAGATTTAAAACCTGTCGCGATAGTTCTCGTTAGAGTTTCTTCTGTTCTCTGTGCGCCTCATGCATATTATATTCAGTTAAAAATTTAAACGCTAAAAATGGTGCGTTTACTGCCTCACTCTGCAGATTCCTGTTGAGCAGCGGCTGTAGATGAGTAACCACACGAAAGCCAAAGTTTTATCACGGAGCTGGTTAAAAATAGAACTCCAGTCGTCATAAAGTTCTGCAAGTACACAACACTTTCCACACAATCTGTTGAACAAAACCTGCACATGCTATAACAATAAAAAAAAAAAAAAAACACGGCGGTGTCCTGTAATAAAATGTGAATGTTTGTTTTGTCAGTAGCATAAAGTCTCATTAAACCTGCAAAATGTCACCAATCAAATGCTTTAGTGAGTACCCCAAGATGTTTCTTCTGTGTGGAGGTTGAAGAAGGACCAATAAGACGTCCTGCAGGACGTTGGAGAACTTAATGTGAAACTTGAACACAGCTGTGATGCATTCACTGGCAGAGGAAAGCTTGGTCCCAAACACTGAGAGCATCCTCATCTTAAACCTCTGATTCCTGCAGCCGACATGATGCTGCATGGAGCTCACTCCAGGAGAACTTCCTGTAAGCAGCTCATAGAGCCTCCCTAATGCCCTGACGTGTGTGAGACATCGAACCTGCAGCTGTCAGAGCATCCAGACTAACCAAACCTTCGGCTGGTTCAGACCTGACTCTGACCTCTGTCCTGAGAGATCGGAGTGTGTTTGGACAGAGTCGACTGTAGGAGTGAGTAGTGAAAACATCTGGAGTCTGGACCGGGTTCATCCATCAGAACATGAACCCCCTAGAGCCGAGCTGTAGAACCTTCTGAACTGAAGTGACCCCACACAAACAGCCGAAGGATTACCTGAGGTGGCCGACGACCTTTAAAGATATAAAACAGCAATCTTTTTGAAGATCCTGATCACACTTGGTGGTGTATTCTGTACCACCAAGTGTGATGGGTGTGCGTGCGTGCGTGCGTGCGTGCGTGCGTGCGTGCGTGCGTGCGTGTGTGTAGAGCTCACCCCTCAAGGTCAAATCACAGAAACATGTAAGGAGTGAAAAACTTCTCAAGTTACTTTTTGCTGCTGAAGCCTCCAGAGCAGTTCGTCCCTCCACCCAATTGTTGTTCTGCAGTTTTTGTCACTTCGTACCCAGAATTTTTATCCAACCATCATCCATCCGTCCATCTGTCTGTCCATCCATCCATTCATCCATTATCTATTATCACATAGAGACAAATGAGACAAACAACCATTCACTCTCTCTCTCACCTGGGGAAAATTTCGAGTCACCGATCAGACTCGAGTACCCGGAGAAACCCCACGCACACGGAGGACGTGCAAACTCCACACAGAAAGGCCCGGGATTTGATCTGGTGACCTTTTCACTGAGAGGCTGCAGCTCTACCAACTGAACCACCGTGTTGCCTTACACTTTTTACCTAAATACTTAAACGCAACATGAATCAAGTGGGTTTCTTTAGTTTCTGTGGGGTTGTTCCCTTTTTTCCAAAGTTCAACCATTTTGATCCTGTTTTGTGTTTCCCATCTGCAAACCTTCATATCAGATGCTCCAAACTGTCCCATTACTGTGGAGTCATCTTGGTTGTCATGTGATTGATGAATCATTAATCAGCCGGTGGGATGCAGTTTATTGACGGGGGTTAATCCTGTTCTTTAAATTCTGTTTGCTCAGCGTGAGACGAGGTTTAGTTCGATGCAGAAGAGGAGCTGCAGCCTGACTTCCAGGAAACTCTCCGCTCGCACTAAAGGTCACTTCTAGGTTCTGCTTCGTAAGGTCTGAATGTCATTTATTAAAAACAACAATCTCAAGTTTTGAACTTGACACTGAGACGTATCACTGATTAAAAAAAATAATAAAATTGCACCTAAATCTTAAAAAGTACGTTTTGAAACACACATTGCTCCTGTTGTTCCCGGCAGGTCAGCTAAATGTCTGCTAAATGAAAACGCAACACAAAACTAAAGATTAAAACCATCAGAGCCGAAGCTAAAACCAAAAACTACTGAAGCGGTAGCTAAAATGTGCAGAGCAGTAGCTAAAAGGTGACAATCGAGCAGCAAGCTGCAGATTTCCAACAGCACAAAGTTTTTAAGGGTTTGAGGAGAACTCAACACATTTTTGTGACAAAACATATTTAAAAAGTTAAATCAAACTAAAGGTCAGAGCTGAAATGCCCTGAACGAGCTGAAGGTTTTAATAACTGAAGGTGAGCTGAATAGTTGACGTCTGAAAACCGTACGGAAGAAACCCCAAACAGAAAAAGGATGCTGACTCAGCGTTCTCTGTTCAGCTCAAAGTTTTCACAGCAGCAAACCTGAATCCTGATCTTTTTCATGCAACAGGATGAATTTGACCCTGATGGTGGATAAATGTGGAGCATCGAGCCGTGAAAAGACTTTTTCACCTGTTCAGGAACTTCCACGAAGACCTGCCGGCTGTGAACTATCAGAACGTTCTGACTCGTGCCGGAACAAGGACGTTGCCGGGGTCTTCGGGCCCGGCGGCTGTTGACCCAGCAGCTTCGGCTGTTTTCTGAACATCCACTTCAGTATTTATGGAGAGGAAGACATGAAACAAGCTGTTCTGTGTACAAAACAGCCGCAGAACCAGAGCTGACGATAAACACGCTCACAACGACGACGGGTCGCAGTTTCTCTTTTAATCATTTTTAATGCCTGAAGGTGAGAAGACGATCATGTTTTTGTCCGTCAGGAGTTTTTACTCTAAGATCAATCAGATGAAGCAGGTGAGATCACTAAGGCTCGGGCCTGAACAGCGGCGGGCGATATGCATTCCTTCAAGGAACAAGAACATTTAAACATTAGCCCACAGAGTTGGTATATGACCTCCGTTTTGTGTCGCTTCCCCTGTTCCGAGCTCTTACAAGTCATTACATGCTCACTTACTGCAAATGACAGCGTGCCACCCTCATGCGGTTCAGTGGGGCAGAACCAGGTACATAAGAGGCTCTTTGGAGCTTTGGCCCGAGGCTTCGGCCTCCCCCGGTCACCTTGAAAACCTCCGTGCCGCAGAACGCCTCGGCCCTTTTCTAGAGAAGTGTTGATTTAACTGCGGAGCCGCGGTGGCAAATGAGTTTTAAATGAGGTTTAAAGGTCGCGACTCGGGATTGTTTTGTTGATGTTCCGGCAGCGTGTTCCTCGGGGTTAATGGTTTATCCGGGCTTCAAAGCAGCAGCTGAACCGGAGCTGAACCATTTGGGTTTTGTTTTGTTCAGCGTTGCTTTTACAGATGCAGGATTTCAGCTCTTATTCATTCAACCTTTATTTCTACAGGTTAGTCCCATTGAGCCTCAAGGACTCATTTACAACAGAGACCTGATTTACAGTAAGTAAAGAACACAGATGGCAACAGTAGACAATCATTAATAAGTATATAAATTGACAAATAAATGGAAGAAAATTATATAAAAAACAAAACAAAAACGGCTAGTTTGTAAAACAATGTAGAAACTAAAAACAGGAACATGTCTGCGTTGGTTTTTGCAGGAACTGAACAGATGTTTGAAGCCACTTAGAGAGGTCAAAGGTCGAGAGCTTCAGATCTTTTTACAAGATATTCCAGGAAACAGGAGCGGAGTAGGAGAAGGTCCTTTTGTCTAGTTCAGTCCTCACTGAGGGAACACTGCAGGTAATGATGTCCTGAGAGCGCACGCTGTAGCTGCACTCACACAGAGACATGTAGGAGGAGATGTATGAAGGCAACAGACCAGGAAGTGATTTAAAGATGAAAATGTACCAGTGGGAGAGTCTGTGTGAAGTTAATGGTGACCAGTTAACCAGTGAATACTGGGTGCAGTGGTGGGTATGGTAGTTACAGCCAGTTATGAATCTTAGTGCACCATGATAGACAGCATCCAACATCTGCAGCATCCAACATCTGCAGCATCCATCATCT